TGAAATCAATTGAAAGTAAATTCAAAGTAAATTGAAAGCAAATTGAAAGTAAATTGAAATCAATTGAAAGTAAATTGAAATCAATTCAAAGTAAATTGAAATCAATTCAAAGTAAATTGAAATCAATTCAAAGTAAATTGAAATCAATTGAAAGTAACTTCAAATCAATTGAAGGTAAATTGAAAGTAAATTGAAATCAATTGAAGTAAATTGAAATCATTTCAAAATAAATTGTAAATTGAAATCAATTAAAGTAAATTGAAATCAATTGCAAGTAAATTGAAATCAATTGAAAGTAACTTGAAATGAATTGAAAGTAACTTGAATTCAATTGAAAGTAAATTGAAATCAATTGAAAGTAAATTGAAATCAAATGAAAGTAAATTGAAATCAATTGAAAGTAACTTCAAATCAATTGAAAGTAAATTGAAATCAATTGAAAGTAAATCGAAATCAATTGAAAGTAAATTGAAATCAATTCAAAATAAATTGAAATCAATTGAAAGTAAATTGAAATCAATTGAAAGTAAATTGAAATCAATTGAAAGTAAATTGAAATCAATTGAAAGTAAATTGAAATCAATTGAAACTAAATTGAAATCAATTGAACGTAAATTGAAATCAATTGAACGTAAATTGAAATCAATTGAACGTAAATTGAAATCAATTGAAAGTAAATTGAAATCAATTGAAAGTAAATTGAAATCAATTGAAAGTAAATTGAAATCAATTGAAAGTAAATTGAAATCAATTGAAAGTAAATTGAAATCAATTGAAAGTAAATTGAAATCAATTCAAAATAAATTGAAATCAATTCAAAATAAATTGAAATCAATTCAAAATAAATTGAAATCAATTGAAAGTAAATTGAAATCAATTGAAAGTAAATTGAAATCAATTGAAAGTAAATTGAAATCAATTGAAAGTAAATTGAAATCAATTGAAAGTAAATTGATATCAATTGAAAGTAAATTGAAATCAATTGAAAGTAAATTGAAATCAATTGAAAATAAATTGAAATCAATTGAAAGTAAATTGAAATCAATTGAAAGTAAATTGAAATCAATTGAAAGTAAATTGAAATCAATTTAAATCTATCATTTTTTTTTGATTTTACACTATTCTGTACCCGGTAATTTGTTTTTTCCACACTATTCTGTTACCCAAATTTGTTTGGGGGGGGGGCCTCCCCACACTAATCAGTAACCTACATTATTCCCAATATATTGAAAAATAAACATGTTCCAAACCAACAACCAGGTACTAATGAGTGACTAGAATAGGCCTAATTAAAAACGCGTCATGTCCTTCAGAAATCATCGACTTGATTAAATAGTCCTAGCTAGTCACTTTGAGTGGTAACGGTTCCCCCGGTTTCTCCTCTGAGGCGACTGAGGTGTATTATGTCTAGTCTAGTACGTCTACTCCTCTACATACTGCTCATCTGCTCAGAACAGTGATATAGTGATACTGTGGATGGTTGCGAAATCCTGCACCAGTTCATAGATGGTTTATCCCATTATTTATAAGGTTTCAACCATCCTTTTGGTGGTGCAGGATTTCGCAGCCATCCACAGTATCACTGTTCATTTTCAGCTAACCCCCCAATGAAAACAAAGTGATCTATCTCGTCACCTAACTAGGCTCGCAGGCTCGGAACAAACGAGTGGATTTATTATGGTAGATATATCTGTAGGGTTGTATGCCACCTTGCAAACCCTCAAAAGTATCAATGCAATGTAAAGCAACCCCAACAAGATAGAACAGCAAAATCTGTATCTATGTTATTTTGTTGTATCCACTATAATATGGCGGTTTATGGTACTTATTAGTATACATAGAAGGACATACACGCCAAACTTATAGTGATGAATTAGTGTTCTATCTTCCGTGGCGGGACTGTATTCGTACACAGTACCTGCAACATGCATGACCCCCTCTTTTGGGTGGTTAGCCATACGTGTTGTGGGTTTAAAGCTTCGAGGCTTCGAAACGAATGTCATATGGATTCCGAGCACATCTTCATCCATCCCATGGTGGCTATCCTGTGACACTATGGGTAGACTGTCCTCCAAAATGTGGTTTTCAGAAAAAATGAGGATACATCCACTTCATCCAACAACCATTGTATTGACACCCCTTTTGGCCAACTCCTCGTTGAGAGAACTGCCTAACGATATGTTTTTGACTGAATCAAGGGTGTGCCTAACTAAAACCCAGCCAGTTTGCCATGTGTGTGATATTGTGTTCTGCTGATTGGCAGTTTCAACCATCAAACAAATAGTTGCTGCTAGGAACATCATAGTTCAAACTATGGCAGCACACAAACACATGTTCCAAACCACCAGCAAACAGTGATCACCCATACAATACTTTTAGATGCATGTCTCCAATCAACCGGATAAAGCCACATGTCTCTCAGTTCACCCGGTTGGTTTTAACGCAATGGCATTGAACTTCATCCGGTAAGTTTTGGCTGCTGAGGTTGATATATTGAGGTTTCCGAAAATGTATGAATAAGATTGAATAAGCATATTAATTAACTAGTAGTAATATAAAGATATGTTGAATAACTAGGGAGTATCATATAAAATTATAACGTATGGAGGTTTCAAAAGTCATGGGGCTAAGTCACGGGGCTACCCCCTTGCATCATCCAAGTCCATGACTTAGTATTGAAACCTATGGTGACAACTGCAGATCATAATTTAAGAAGCCCCCCAGGTTATGTTCACCGACTTAGCTATCATAAATCAGCCACAAATCCCATTTTCCCATGGTTTTCCCATGGTTTTCCCATTGTTTTTCTGGGTTGCCCCACTGTTTTCCCATAGTTTTCCCATTGTTTCCCATGGTTTTCCTGGGTTTCCCCATTGTTTTCCCATTGTTTCCCATGGTTTTCCCATGGTTTTCCCATTGTTTTCCCAGTGTTTCCCATGGTTTTCCCATGGTTTTCCTGGGGTTCCCAGCTCCATGTACTTCTTCAAGTGCTCCAAGGCAAAAGACTCTCCACCTGCAACATCTGTAGAAAGAAAAACAGTTACTTTATAGCCATTAACCATAATTAACCCATCACTGGTCATACTATATGTATATATATATATATGGTACCCATATATATATATATTTATACCCATTAAATATCACCATTAAACCACCATTAATTCGCTACTGCATCATCTACTATTAACAAAGCGAAGCATGATACCAGTCTCATTGAAGAGGTCTGAGACGTCCACTTGCCAATGGTATGCCGGAGAATATACCCAGATTGGAAATCATCTACTACTAACATCTATTAACAGAGTGTAATTGCATTGCTGTGTATGAGTACAGTAGGATACAGTAGGTACATAGACATATGACATATCTTATCATATCTGGTTGGTGGTTTCAACCATCTTGAAAAATGATGGAGTTCGTCAATGGGAAGGATTCTCCCATATATTACGGAAAATAGAGTATGGCGGCAACCGGCGAACCGGGCCGTGAACCGGCAAACCGTGGCCGTACGGCTGCCCCCCTCCACGGTTCCACGGTTCCACGGTGCACGCTCACGGCTGAGCTCCACGGTTCCACGGCTCAGTCCGTGGAACCGTGCGGCCACGGCTGGGCTCCACGGTTCCACGGCTCAGCCGTGGAACCGTACGGCCACGGCTAAGGCTCCACGGTTCCACGGCTGAGCCGTGGATTCGTGGAGCGCAGCCGTGGCGGCTGAGCCGTGGAACCGTGGAGCCGAGCCGTGGCCGCACGGTTCCACGGCTGGAGCCGTGGAACCGTGGAGCCCAGCCGTGGCCACACGGTTCCACGGCTGAGCCGTGGAACCGTGGAGCCCAGCCGCGGCCGCACGGTTCCACGGCTGAGCCGTGAAACCGTGGAGGCCAGCTGTGACCGTGCCTTCCGCAGTTCGTTAACTTCATATTTATTTACCAGTAGTACCGCACAAGCGGTTGCGTAAAAATAGGAAACTTATAAGAGATTGGTTGTTGTGAATCAAGGGTGGCAGACCGAATCCACTGATGGACCGAAAGGTGCTTGAGGTCTTCTCTCTTTCTCTCTCTTTCTCTGACTACCTACCTACCTATCTACCTACCTATCTATCTTCAATGTATCTATTTATCTATCTATTGATCTATGTATCTTTCTCTCTGTCATCTAATTACCTATCTATCTATCTATCTATCTATTTATCTATCTATCTCTATCTCTATCTCTATCTCTATCTCTACTACTACTACTACTGCTACTACTGCTACTGCTACTGCTACTGCTACTGCTACTGCTACTGCTACTACTGCTACTGCTACTGCTGCTGCTACTGCTACTGCTACTACTACTGCTACTGCTAATGCTGCTACTACTACTAACTACTACTACTACTACTGCTACTACTACTACTACTACTACTGCGAATCCACGGCTCAGCCGTGGAACCGTGCGGCCACAGCTGGGCTCCACGGTTTCACGGCTGAGCCGCCACGGCTGCGCTCCACGAATCCACGGCTCAGCCGTGGAACCGTGGAGCCCAGCCGTGGCCGTACGGTTCCACGGCTGAGCCGTGGAACCGTGGAGCCCAGCCGTGGCCGCACGGTTCCACGGCTGAGCCGTGGAACCGTGGAGCCCAGCCGCGGCCGCACGGTTCCACGGCTGAACCGTGGAACCGTGAGCCGTGGAACCGTGGAAACCGTGAACCGTACGGTTTCCACGGTTCCACGGCTCACGGCTGGAGAGTGCCCGTCGCCGCCCTTCTGGGAAAATAAAAAATGTTTGAAACCATCTTGATAAGTTAATCCCCCATCAATGGGATGAATTGATATAGCTTAATGGTAAATAATGGTAGATCATGGCTAATAGTGATTGATGAAAACCATCAAAATATAGTATATTTACTAGTTGGTGGTATACCTACCCCTCTGAAAAATATGACTTCGTCAGTTGGGATGATGACATTCAGAAAAATAATCCAAATGTTCCAAACCACCAACCAGATAGCCATTAACCATACTTAATCCATCAGTTGACTATCAATCATCACTTAACATCGCTGTGCCGCCTTCCATGATTGTGGGAAGTGCGCAGCATATTTTCCGGACTAGACCCATGTCTGGCATCATGTTCTCCAATCAGTAGTTCTCTCAATGGGGAAGCCGGCTGCGGTGTAGCTGGGCTTGAGACATTGCTGACGCTGTGAGCTCCGCGGCAGCTCGTTCTGAAAGAAATACCGCGTTCCTTCATGGAAAATATCTGGTTGGTGGTTGAGCCACCCGTCAGTTGGGATTATTATTCCCAAATATGGAAAAATAAAAAACGTTCCAAACCACCAACCAGATATCTATCGCACAACTAGTAGAACCATCAGAATGGTTTTTTCCTGTGAGTTCCCAACATCCGCAATCTTGGTTGCTTAAGCTTAGCCCAAATGGGAAATGATCAGACCCAGCAAAACATCAACATCCAAAACAAGGGTCGGTAGCCTCTGAACCCCCCAATTTTGTGGGTTCCATCGATACTTCATGTTTGACCACATCCCATCCCACTGTCTGACGAACTTAAATCCAAACTCATCAGGGTTTAAAACAAGCACATTTCTGGTTGGTGGTATACCTATACCCCTCTGAAAAATATGAGTTCGTCAGTTGGGATGATTATACCCAAGATATGGAAAGTCATAAAAGCCATGTTCCAGTCACACCAACCAGGTATTATTTCGGGATGGTTTCCCAGCCAAAACCGCAGCCCCATTAAAAAAAACAGTCCGATGAGCTGGAAGTTACCTCCAGCATTCACCACTTGCTTCCCTCCATATCGTTCCATTTCCATAATGTTCCGATGACAATTCGGAATATGTCCACGTACTTCCCCCTTTTTCAGGTTTCCACACTTTGGATGGTCAATCACGCAGTTTGCGATAATCCAACCTTCATTTTCGATGCTTCAATGCTCCACGGTTGCTGGTTCAATCACCATTTTCTCACACTTAATCTTTATTTTTGATGGCGGCACCATCATTTTGATGGTTAAACAAACATGTTTGCCAGTGAACTCTCCATCTTTGCTGGTTGAACCATCATTTTTCTGGTGAAATCCATGTTTTTCGACGGCGAAACCATGATTTTTGCTGCTGAATTCATCCCCCCTCCCACGCATTTCCCTCACCCGACCTCTCCACCGAAAGAACTGTCGCTCCTCCGGAGGCAACGGCGGCGGCCCCGCCGCGAACGCGGCGGAACCAGAACCGTCACCGCCATGGTGGCCGGCGGGCGGCCGCCGCAGGGAAGGGATGGGAAGCACCTGCGCAAGGCATCTGGGAAGGTGTGGGTTCGATGGGGAGATCTTGATCTTTGATGTTTGTTGGATTTTGTAACGGCCATTTGGAACCTCATCTTCCAGGTTGTGTTTAACGGCCATGAATTGGCTAAACATAACATATAATTCATATTCTGGGCATATCCCAATTTATCCATTTATCCCTGTTATTTTATGATTGGTTCTGTCTTTTTAAGGATAAAGCAGCATGTCCGATGCTAAACTCAGCCAAATCGCTGAACAAAGTTGGTTTACCGCTATGCTTGAACGATTTTATCAAATTAGACAACTTTGATTATGAAATTAGTTGGCTTATCTTTTGCTTATCAAATTATTGATTAGACCCTAGACCGATGCACCCGGTGATGAAACTCGTTGACACGGCCATTTGGGGGACCAAGAGTTGCGCTGGTCGTTTCCCGAACATAGCCATTCCAGTAAAATCTGATACAATGTGGTGCCCCCTAGATAGCGTCCAGTTGCCTTATAAGTGGCTTAACTATGGTTTATAGCAGATAAAACTACAGTTAATGGGGTTTATAAACTTATAAACCAACTTATAACTGGTGGGCACAACTTTGTATGGAGGTTTCCCAAGTCATAGGGGTAGCCTCCGGTAGACATACAAAAAAACGATGGAAAATCACCACTTTTACTGGGTAATTCAACAAACTAAATGGCAATTTTCAATAGCTATGTTAGTTTACCAAATGGTACCCCTCAATCATCTAATTTAGATTGGGATTTTCATGAAATAAACCATCAAGCTATTGGCGTATCCCCATTTATGGAAGCCCTCATATATTCACAGCTTCAGACCGTCCCACAGTCCCAGTCCCACAGTCCCACAGTCCAACATCTTTTTAATTCAAACTTATGCCCTCCAAGATGGCCTAATAGACCCATTCTTGTGGGACGTTGCCGCGCTACTTCAGTACTAGCCCCTAACAGGTCGAACTGGCTTATGACCTCATTTAAGTCTTTTATAACCTTAGCTGCAGGAGTAAAAAGTTATAATGTGGGTGAAACAATACATATAGGTAAAATATGTGTTTCATTCCCAGTCATGGGTGGTTTATGGCATTGTTTTACCCACATGTAACTCTGGGCAAATTAGAATATTTCACGAACCTGAAATGTTGGGCCATTTGGGGATGATTTCCCTTATTCACCATGATTCCAGGGTTTAGGAGAACAGTGAGGTCGTTAAAATTTACCGAGAACTGGCCATAAATAACTTCTTGTTAAACATCTTGTTACCCTCTGGTGAACTAACATAAGTATGCAAAATCACCATTTTTGATGGGTAAATCCACTATAAATGGACATTGTCAATATAGCTATGTTAAATTACCGGAGGGTATGGTTGGCCATAACTGGCCATAACTGTTGCAAGGTCAACGAAATCCACTGGCCAAATGCTCCACCTCCCGAATGGGACGGCGCTTGGCAGCCCGCTGGAACTCGCCCTTGTACATTGGCATCTCGCGTCTGCGGCGAAACAGCGAAACACAAAACAACGAGATGGAGATGTTGAACCTTGAAAAATGGAGGCTTAACATTACCATCTGGTTATTTAACAGTTCGCCATGGAAAATCATCATTTTTAATACGTAAACCATCTATAAATGGGCCATTTCCCATGGCTATGTTAAATAACCAGATGATAAATAGTCACTAACGAACAAGTTTAACAAGTGATATGTTGATGTTGAACTAGTCTTTTCGGTTTAACTATCAAAAAATAACAGAACTAACCAAACAAAACAAGGCTCTACTATCAAACAGGGTTTAACACTATATTCATCAAGAATGGAAACTTAATTATGATCAAAAGAACATGCGGTTTGAAAATGTTTGAACATCAACATGGAGTTTTAAGTCTCATAGAAAAGGATTGAAACATCAAACATCGAGGTCTTAACTATCCTAAATGGCATTTTAGCACGCAACATTCGGCATTTAATCATCATTACCAGTTGTAAGTCAGTTATAACCTCATTTATGGAATTATAACCCCGTTTAAAACCATTTATAATCATTTATAAACTGGTAAATGGCCTTAAGTGAAGAAGGTAGAATGAACCCATCTGGTCTTCAACGTTCAAACATTATGTGATGATTGGAGCAAATGCGATCAGTGGAAGAGTCAAACATTCATATGGCGAAACCAACATGTCACAATATCAAAATCAAGATGTGATTTGTCATGTCTCACAATGTCATATCACTAAATCATATCTACATGTGAGATGTGATGTTGGCAAAATGCTTCTGAATACATACATGATGTGGAATGATAATGCATGGATGCAAAGATCCCTAAAAAATGCGGACCCTCCAAAACCATTGATTTCCCCCATGCAAGAAAACATGTGTTTTTTTCCCGAGAGCGTCTGAGCGCAGGGTTCTTCCAATAGTGGGGGTCTGTATCTCATTTTCTCATCTTCACACCTTCTCATCTTCACACCTTCTCTCACACCTTCTCATCTTCACATCTGCTCATCTTCACACCTGCTCATCTTCACATCTGCTCATCTTCACATCTGCTCATCTTCACATCTGCTGATCTTCCACATCTTCTCTCACATCTGCTCATCTTCACATCTGCTCATCTTCACATCTGCTCCTCTTCACATCTGCTCCTCTTCACACCTTCTTTCACACCTTCTCATCTTCACACCTTCTCTCACATCTTCTCATCTTCACATCTTCTCTCTCTCACTCTCTCTCCTCTTTCCTCTCTCCTTTCTCTCTCCCTTTTCTCTCTCTCGCCTTCTTTATCTTTCTCTCTTTAGGCCGAGGGTGGTGCCGGCGGGGAGTCACGAAACGTCAACCCTTTCGCACGAAATGAAGGTCGATCGTCAAAAACTGCGGTAAAATTGCGATTTTACGTGTCCCGGAGCAAGCCTTTCGCACGAAATGAGGGTCGATCGGTAAAAACTGAGGTAAAATTGCGATTTTACTTGTGCCGGAGCACCCCTTTCGCACGAAATGAGGGTCGATCGGCAAAAATTGAGGTAAAATTGCGACTTTACTTGTGCCGGACTTGTCTGTGTGTAAAAGCGTCTGTGTGTAAAAGCGTCTGTGTATAAGAGTCTCTGTGTGTAAAAGTGTTTGTGTGTAAAAGTGTTTGTGTGTAAAAGTGTTTGTGTGTAAAAGCTTCTGTGTGTAAAAGCTTCTGTGTGTAAAAGCGTCTGTGTGTAAAAGCGTCTGTGTGTAAAAGCGTCTGTGTGTAAAAGCGTCTGTGTGTAAAAGCGTCTGTGTGTAAAAGTGTTTGTGTGTAAAAGTGTTTGTGTGTAAAAGCTTCTGTGTGTAAAAGTGTCTGTGTGTAAAAGTGTCTGTGTGTAAAAGCTTCTGTGTGTAAAAGTCTTTGTGTGTAAATGGGTTTGTGTGTAAGAGTGTTTCTGTGCAAAGATGTTTGTGTGTAAAAGTGAATCTGTGTAAAAGTGAATCTGTGTAAAAGTGAATCTGTGTAAAAGTGAATCTGTGTAAAAGGGTTTGTGTGTAAAAGTGTCTGTATGTAAAAGCTTCTGTGTGTAAAAGTCTTTGTGTGTAAACGGGTTTGTGTGTAAGAGTGTTTCTGTGTCAAAGGATTTGTGTGTAAAAGCTTTTGTGTGTAAAAGTGTCTGTGTGTAAAAGGGTTTGTGTGTTAAAGCGTCTCTGTGTAAAATGGTGTGAGTGCAGAAGGGTTTTTGTGCAAAAAAGGTGTTTCTGTGTGACAGCGGCAATGTGTGTAAAAGCAGCTTTGCTTACAAGTTTTCTTTCTTGCCTTGTTGATTGTTTGGCATGTTTGTTTTCCGGTCACCCCGGTCATGTTTAGGTCTTGCTGGCAAGTTTTAAGCAATCCTGACTTGTTTGCTTGGCATGTTTCGTAGGCATGCTTCATTTTACCCCCAAAGTGATATGAATTGATTCATGAGGTTACATTGGGATTCACTGATTTTGGGGTTGTGGAGTTTGTGGGTAACACTTTAGCATCACATTTCTTTGCTGAGGTTGGCATGAACATTTTTTGTTTGCTACCCGAACTGTCCGAGCAGACATGACTGTAAGCATTTCCAGAGCTTCTTTTCGTGGCTGTGCTGCTTGTCCTTCAGTCTGAAGAGCTCGGCGACGCCCATTCTGCTTCCGCTCCCCAGGGGATGTGGTCCAGGGGGGGAGCTGAAGCCACTCCAAAGCAGAGCCCCCCCCCTGGTAGGCACCAATCCCAAACTGCCCGCCCAGGGATAAGCGGCGTTGGCGGCAGCTTCTTGCCAGCCGTTGCTTCTTCTGTGATTGCTTCTTTATTCCCGAGAGCGTCTGAGCGCAGGGTTCTTCCAATAGTGGGGGTCTGTAAAACATCTTCTCATCTTCACATCTTCTCTCACATCTGCTCATCTTCACATCTTCTCTCACATCTTCTCTCACATCTGCTCATCTTCACATCTGCTCATCTTCACATCTGCTCATCTTCACATCTGCTCATCTTCCCATCTGCTCATCTTCACATCTGCTCATCTTCACATCTGCTCATCTTCACATCTGCTCATCTTCACACCTTCTCTCACATCTTCTCATCTTCACACCTTCTCTCACATCTTCTCATCTTCACATCTGCTCATCTTCACATCTTCTCTCACATCTCTCTCACATCTTCTCTCACATCTTCTCATCTGCTCATCTTCACATCTTCTCTCACATCTTCTCTTACATATCTCACATCTCACATCTTCTCTCACATCTCTCTCTCACATCTGCTCATCTTCACATCTGCTCATCTTCACATCTGCTCCACATCTTCTCTCACATCTGCTCATCTTCACATCTGCTCATCTTCACATCTGCTCCTCTCTTCACATCTGCTCATCTTCACATCTTCTCTCATATCTTCTCTCGCATCTGCTCACCTTCACATCTGCTGTTCTTCACATCTTCTCTCACATCTGCTCATCTTCACATCTTCTCTCACATCTTCTCTCACATCTGCTCATCTTCACATCTGCTCATCTTCACATCTGCTCATCTTCACATCTGCTCATCTTCACATCTTCTCTCACATCTTCTCTCACATCTGCTCATCTTCACATCTGCTCATCTTCACATCTTCTCTCACACCTGCTCATCTTCACATCTTCTCTCACATCTGCTCATCTTCACATCTGCTCATGTCCACATCTTCTCTCACATCTGCTCATCTTCACATCTGCTCATCTTCACATCTGCTCCTCTTCACATCTTCTCATCTTCACATCTTCTCTCCTTTCTCTCCCTTTTCTCTCTCTCGCCTTCTTTATCTTTCTCTCTTTAGGCCGAGGGTGGTGCCGGCGGTGAGTCACGAAACGTCAACCCTTTCGCACGAAATGAGGGTCGATCGTCAAAAACTGAGGAAAAATTGCGATTTTACTTGTCCTAAAGCAACCCTTTCGCACGAAATGAGGGTCGATCGTCAAAAACTGAGGAAAAATTGCGATTTTACTTGTCCCGGAGCAACCCTTTCGCACGAAATGAGGGTCGATCGTCAAAAACTGAGGAAAAAATTGCGATTTTACTTGTGCCGGAGCAACCCTTTCGCACGAAATGAGGGTCGATCGTCAAAAACTGAGGAAAAATTGCGATTTTACTTGTGCCGGAGCAACCCTTTCGCACGAAATGAGGGTCGATCGTCAAAAACTGAAGAAAAATTGCGATTTTACTTGTCCCCGAGCAACCCTTTCGCACGAAATGAGGGTCGATCGGCTAAAACTGAGGAAAAATTGCGATTTTACTTGCCCCGGAGCAACCCTTTCGCACGAAATGAGGGTCGATCGTCAGAAACTGAGGAAAAATTGCGATTTTACTTGTCCCCGAGCAACCCTTTCGCACGAAATGAGGGTCGATCGGCTAAAACTGAGGAAAAATTGCGATTTTACTTGCCCCGGAGCAACCCTTTCGCACGAAATGAGGGTCGATCGTCAAAAACTGCGGAAAAATTGCGATTTTACTTGTGCCGGAGCAACCCTTTTGCACGAAATGAGGGTCGATCGGCAAAAACTGTGGAAAAATTGCGATTTTACTTGTGCCGGACTTGTCTGTGTGTAAAAGCGTCTGTGTGTAAGAGTCTCTGTGTGTAAAAGTGTTTGTGTGTAAAAGTGTTAGTGTGTAAAAGTGTTAGTGTGTAAAAGCTTCTGTGTGTAAAAGCTTCTGTGTGTAAAAGCGTCTGTGTGTAAAAGCGTCTGTGTGTCAAAGCGTCTGTGTGTAAAAGTGTTTCTGTGTAAAAGTGCTTGTGTGTAAAAGTGTTTGTGTGTAAAAGCGTCTGTGTGTAAAAGCTCTGTGTGTAAAAGCGTCTGTGTGTAAAAGCTTCTGTGTGTAAAAGCCTCTGTGTGTGAAAGTGTTTGTGTGTAAAAGCGTCTGTGTGTAAAAGCGTCTGTGTGTAAAAGCGTCTGTGTGTAAAAGCGTCTGTGTGTAAAAGACTGTGTGCACAAGCGTCTGTGTGTAAAAGCGTCTGTGTGTCAAAGCGTCTGTGTGTAAAAGCGTCTGTGTGTAAAAGCGTCTGTGTGTAAAAGTGTTTCTGTGTAAAAGTGTTTGTGTGTAAAAGCCTCTGTGTGTAAAAGCGTCTGTGTGTAAAAGCGTCTGTGTGTAAAAGCGTCTGTGTGTAAAGTAAAAGCGTCTGTGTGTAAAAGCGTCTGTGTGTAAAAGTGTTTGTGTGTAAAAGCCTCTGTGTGTAAAAGTGTCTGTGTGTAAAAGCGTCTGTGTGTAAAAGCGTCTGTGTGTAAAAGTGTTTGTGTGTAAAAGTGTTTGCGTGTAAAAGCCTCTGTGTGTAAAAGCCTCTGTGTGCAAAAACGTATGTGTGTAAAAACTTCTGTCTGTAAAAGCGTCTGTGTGTGTAAAAGCTTTGTGTAAAAGTGTCTGTGTAAAAGCGTCTGTGTGTAAAAGCTTCTGTGTGTAAAAGCTTTTGTGTGTACAAGCGTCTGTGCGTAAAAGGGTCTGTGTGTGAAAGTGTCTGTCTGTAAAAGCTTCTGTGTGTGAAAGCTTTTGTGTGTACAAGCGTCTGTGCGTAAAAGGGTCTGTGCGTGTTTGCGATGCAAACTATTGTGTTGCACTTCTGCTATTCTGAGGAAAAATTGCGATTTTACTTGTGCCGGAGCAACCCTTTTGCACGAAATGAGGGTCGATCGGCAAAAACTGTGGAAAAATTGCGATTTTACTTGTGCTGGACTTGTCTGTGTGTAAAAGCGTCTGTGTGTAAGAGTCTCTGTGTGTAAAAGTGTTTGTGTGTAAAAGTGTTTGTGTGTAAAAGTGTTAGTGTGTAAAAGCTTCTGTGTGTAAAAGCTTCTGTGTGTAAAAGCGTCTGTGTGTAAAAGACTGTGTGCACAAGCGTCTGTGTGTAAAAGCGTCTGTGTGTCAAAGCGTCTGTGTGTAAGCGTCTGTGTGTAAAAGTGTTTGTGTGTAAAAGTGTTTGTGTGTAAAAGCCTCTGTGTGTAAAAGCGTCTGTGTGTAAAAGCGTCTGTGTGTAAAAGCGTCTGTGTGTAAAAGCGTCTGTGTGTAAAGTAAAAGCGTCTGTGTGTAAAAGCGTCTGTGTGTAAAAGCCTCTGTGTGTAAAAGTGTTTGTGTGTCAAAGCGTCTGTGTGTAAAAGTGTCTGTGTGTAAAAGCATCTGTGTAAAAGCGTATGTGTGTAAAAGCTTCTGTCTGTAAAAGCTTCTGTGGGTAAAAGCTTTGTGTGTAAAAGTGTCTGTGTAAAAGCATCTGTGTGAGAAAGTGGTCTGTCTGTAAAGCTTCTGTGTGTGAATCCTTTTGGTGTGTACAAGCGTCTTGCGTAAAGGTCGGTGCGTGTTTGCGATGCAACCTATTGTTTTGCACTTCTCTGCTATTTTGGTCTTAATATCCTCTTCTCGACTGCCTATAACACATCTTTAATATAGTTGTTTCTAATATGTGTCTCCATACTTAACAAGAGAAGAACCTGCTCCTCTACGCTCTCAGGGCCTCCGTCTGTCTCAGTTCGAAAAGCGGAAATGCATTGCCATGTTGGTAAAGCCCACTCAAAGCCATGTCAAACATGGCAGAGGGCACTTACACGGTGCCTATCATTTTTTCGTCCTTGAGCCTGTGTGTAAAGTTGTCATGTGAATATTGATGATAACACGAAGCCTAAGACGGTCTGAAAAACAATAATCTGTTTAGATATCCCCTGATTGGCTTTAAAAGTTTGGCCAGTTTTGGTGCAAGGGGGGGAAATAAAAACACACACATCGTTGACTTCACCACCTCCATGCTTCCCTGGCAACTTCATGGAAACCCTCAAGAAGTTTCATCAAAGTTTCCGAACCCCAAAAAATGCATTCTGAACCCCAAAAAATGGATTTTCAGCACCAACTTTTCACCAAAAAATTGAAATTTGACACCAAAAAAGGTGTTTTCCAACACCAAATTTTCTTGTTCCGGGCACCGGCTAGTCGATGCACAAAAAACGGCCAGACCCAGGTTTGCACCAGTCGTGCACCACCCCCCCCCAAGCACCAAAAACTGGCCAAACGTTT